TACGCATACATACATATATATATATATATATATATATATATATATATATAACATATATATATATATATGTGTGCATATGCACATACACACATCCATACTAAATTTTTCAAATTATTGGGGGAGAAGGATTTCTGTTTAACATTGGGTCCTCTAACATTTCGATGGTGTTCCATACCCTGATGGCTTGGTGCTGCAGTCTGATGTTTAGTGGCTGTGTGTTCAGGAGTTCATGGAGCTCCTGGATTCTCTGATCATATGGTGGACGGTGTTTTGCTGCTCTCCTTAGCGCCTTATTTTGTACTGCTTGCAGTTTCTGCATGTTAGTTTTCTTTATGGTGTGTAGTGGTACTGGGGGATACTCTAGATGCGGCCGAACTAGAGCCTTATATAAGTGGATCTGAATGTTAGTACTGAGGCTTCGGAATCTCCTCAGTTTTCCTAAGGCTGCTTTGGCTTTGTTTAGTCGGTCCCTTACATGAATTTGTATCCCTATTCTATTTATCATAAGTCCCAGTATTCTGCCTACCTCCGCATATTGGATCGGATGGTTGTCAAGGATAATGGGGTCCGGGTTTCTTTTCGCAATGTGTATTATCTAAAACTTTTGTTTGTTGGTGCTAATTTTCCATAGCATCTCAAAGTTGTTTATGAGTTCAATTGCTGGCTTGATCTTGTCGGCTAGTAGCGGCTTTGATGGTCCCGGTTGGCATATTATTTGGGTGAGATCGTCAGCGTATGTGATGTATTCTCCATGTTGGGGTTGGGGTAGGTCAGCTGTATATATGTTGAATAGAGTGGGGGAGAGGCAGCTTCCTTGTGGTACTCCACTTTTCAGTTCTATTACGTCACCCAAGTAGCTGTCGATATTAAGCCTAGCAGTTCTGTCGTCATGAGGACAGAGGTGGGACAGGCATTTGGATGAGGAAGAGATGGGACAGGCATTTGGATGAGGAAGAGATGGGACAGGCATTTGGATGAGGAAGAGATGGGACAGGCATTTGGATGAGGACAGAGATGGGACAGGCATTTGGATGAGGACAGAGATGGGAGGGAGCATAAAGATGTGAGAGGCATCGGGATGAGGCGGACAGATGGACGGGCATTGGGGACAGAAGACGGAGAAGGGGTTGGTGGATGGGGGAGAGGTATGGGTATTGTGGGGAGAGGTGTAAGGGATGGGAAGGTGGGACGGGTAAGGAGGGGGATGGGGGGGTTGAAGCCCTCCCAGCTCGAGGGCGGGAGGTGCTAGGTAGGGAGATTCATGGGACAGAGAGGTTGGGGGAAGTGGGAGGTACATGGGACAGAGGGGTTGGTGGGTGGGGGAGGTGGGGTTGTGTATACACACCTCTATTATTGCTCTCATACAAGCCTACACTCGCCCCGTTACTAACGACAACCCCCCACGAGTAACGAGTACTCGACGACAACCCCCCACGAGTAACGAGTACTCGACGACAACCCCCCACGAGTAACGAGTACTCACGACAACCCCCCACGAGTACCGAGTACTCACGTACACAGAGTACATCACCCCCTCTCACAGTGCCAGCAGCGACGCCCTCTAAACAGAGGACAAACACAGCAGTTTACCATACCATAACACCCCCTTCCTCCCCCGGCAACGGTGGGGAGAGGGGGGTGATGGGAGAATATGGGTGGGGGGGAGGGAGGAGGGGGTGCTGCTGTCAGCGTCCTGTCAACCCGTCTAAATTGCTGACGGTTGCAAGTTGTTCCAAAAATTATGTGCAAATACTTTTTTTTACCACTGTCGTCCTCTGGGTCGATTTGTTTAAAATGATTCTTTTTTGGGTTATGGCTGTGAGCGTCACTGGGCCAGTGAGGAGAGCAGCCCGTCTGCTATTGAGTGACGGTGGTGGACGGTACGGTGACGGTACAGTGACGGCACTGTCCAGTGTCACTGGGGTGCAGATATATTGTGATGGGCGTCTTGTCCGTGGAGAGATGCACGGATCCTTTATACCACACTAACACACACACACACACACACCAAGGAGCATCTTGTATGCTTTTGAGAGATACTTACACTCAAGATAAATCACAAGTGTATATTTCCATATTCACTAAGGGTCATTTCTATATTTGTTTATAAACACGACAATTATTGGCTCAGGATAAAGGCTATCACATATCCACCGTCCAGCCTCTGAGCTCACACTGCTGGCCTCCACACTCCCACACTGCTGCCACCGCGCGCACAGCGTCTCGTACCGCACCAACCTATTTGCCATATCGTCACGTTTAAAATGTTTGGAAATAATGTAAGTCATTTAAATAATTGTCTATTAGATATACTGTTGACACGGGAGGAAATAATAGGGAGAAAGGTTGTGTTAAGGAAGATGCGCGAAGGCGAGTTTGATCGTACGCGTCGGGTGGCGAGTTGTGGGTGATGGTGGGGCCTATATCGCCTCTGCCATATGGTGGACAAGACTACCTTTCCTTCCGTAGCTCCACCACGGCCCCCTGGTGGCACCCAGCCTGGCACCCGCCACCACCATGACCATTACTGGCCAGGGCCGCCCCGACGGTGCCCCCGGCGGCCCTCAGCCCCTGCGGCCGGGGCACGGGGCTCAGGGTCCGGGGGAAGCGTGCGAGGGCGGGTGTCGGGAGGGCCAGGGTCGGGGGCGGACCCTTACTGTGAGGACTTGTCAACTGTCACACCCCGACCACCCCGCTACCCCGACCACCCCGCTACCACGGCCACCCCGCTACCACGGCCACCCCGCTACCACGGCCACCCCGCTACCCCGACCACCCCGCTACCCCGACCACCCCGCTACCACGGCCACCCCGCTACCACGGCCACCCCGCTACCACGGCCACCCCGCTACCACGGCCACCCCGCTACCCCGACCACCCCGCTACCCCGACCACCCCGCTACCCCGACCACCCCGCTACCCCGACCACCCCGCTACCACGGCCACCCCGCTACCACGGCCACCCCGCTACCCCGACCACCCCGCTACCCCGACCACCCTGCTACCACGGCCACCCCGCTACCCCGACCACCCCGCTACCCCGACCACCCCGCTACCCCGACCACCCCGCTACCACGGCCACCCCGCTACCCCGACCACCCCGCTACCCCGACCACCCCGCTACCACGGCCACCCCGCTACCACGACCACCCCGCTACCCCGACCACCCCGCTACCCCGACCACCCCGCTACCCCGACCACCCCGCTACCCCGACCACCCCGCTACCACGGCCACCCCGCTACCCCGACCACCCCGCTACCCCGACCACCCCGCTACCCCGACCACCCTGCTACCACGGCCACCCCGCTACCCCGACCACCCCGCTACCCCGACCACCCCGCTACCACGGCCACCCCGCTACCACGGCCACCCCGCTACCACGGCCACCCCGCTACCCCGACCACCCCGCTACCACGGCCACCCCGCTACCACGGCCAACCCGCTACCCCGACCACCCCGCTACCACGGCCACCCCGCTACCACGGCCACCCCGCTACCACGGCCACCCCGCTACCCCGACCACCCCGCTACCACGGCCACCCCGCTACCACGACCACCCCGCTACCACGGCCACCCCGCTACCACGGCCACCCCGCTACCCCGACCACCCCGCTACCACGGCCACCCCGCTACCCCGACCACCCCGCTACCACGGCCACCCCGCTACCACGGCCACCCCGCTCCCACGGCCACCCCGCTCCCACGGCCACCCCGCTCCCACGGCCACCCCGCTCCCACGGCTACCCCGCTACCACGGCCACCCCGCTACCACGGCCACCCCGCTACCACGGCCACCCCGCTACCCCAACCACCCCGCTACCCCGACCACCCCGCTACCCCGATCACCCTCGTAAGACGAACCCACTACCCACTAATAAAAAGCACCCTTCCAGTAGTAGCACCTAGTAATGTCTACCATTGTACTCTGCAAGCAACCATTCGAAACGTTTGTCTGGAGTGAGAGATATTGAGGCATTATTGAGGTGCGGGTGTGTGGCCCTGGAGAACGTCCTGGAGACGACGGTAGGAACCTGTACACACCTGCACAGTCCTCAGGGAGAGGGGAGGCACCTGTACACACCTGCACAGTCCTCAGGGAGAGGGGGAGGCACCTGTACACACCTGCACAGTCCTCAGCCTGTCCTGCCCTCCGTGTCCCAGACTGTCCTCCCCTAGACTGGGTCCCGCCACGTACCATGTCTGAGGACAGTGTCCCAGTGTGCCAGCTGGCCAAGGCCGCCTTGACCGTCACAACTGTCCCCTCCTTGTTCCCCCGTCACCCCACTCACCACCACCTCAAGCATGACTGGAGAGTTGTGGTGTGACATAACCTCCCCCTCCCCCAAGAGTGCCAATGATGCCAGCCACACGCTAATATATCACTCTCCATCTTGTTACGGACAGCTCCATAATAATATGGACTTGTTCACCCCATACAAAGTTGTCACTCTGTGTGTGTCCTCTTTCTTCTCCAGCCCCTATGACGCCCACTCTGGCCTCCCACTCCAAATTCTCCTATCACTTGGGTTCGAATCCTGGCCAGGGAGGACTGACTGGGGAACCAATCCTAAACTGTTCGCCCCTGTTCACCCAGCAGTAAATGGGTTACCCGGTTATTAAGTGATTGGCGGTTCGTGTTCCAGGGAAAACTAATATGGTAAGAGGGAGAACTGAGATATGGTAAATAGGAGCCAGGCGTCGTCTGTTGCTGCACCCACCTGTGTCATTAAGACAGAGAGAAAGAGAGAGAGAGAGAGAGAGAGAGAGCACGAGACACAGATAACATTTAAAGAAGGTGGCAGAGAAAGAGACAGAGAGGCAGGGAGAATATTGACAAAATATAAGACAAATTGGAAAGCCGACAGACAGACAGAGAGACAGACAGACGAACGGACAGCACCGAAGGGGAGAGAGAGAGAGAGAGAGACCCAAGGCAGGAGGGAGTGGAATAATTTATAAGTTGCACAAGTTGAGAGCTCACCAGGGAGTCAAAGACGGGTCACGAGTGGGAGAGGGTGAGGGCCTCACTGTGGGAGAGGGTGAGGGCCTCACTATGGGAGAGGGTGAGGGCCTCACTGTGGGAGAGGGTGAGGGCCTTACTGTGGGAGAGGGTGAGGGCCTTACTGTGGGAGAGGGCGAGGGCCTTACTGTGGGAGAGGGCGAGGGCCTCACTGTGGGAGAGGGTGAGGGCCTCACTGTGGGAGAGGGCGAGGGCCTCACTGTGGGAGAGGGTGAGGGCCTCACTATGGGAGAGGGTGAGGGCCTCACTGTGGGAGAGGGTGAGGGCCTCACTGTGGGAGAGGGTGAGGGCCTCACTGTGGGAGAGGGTGAGGGCCTCACTGTGGGAGAGGGTGAGGGCCTCACTGTGGGAGAGGGTGAGGGCCTCACTATGGGAGAGGGTGAGGGCCTCACTGTGGGAGAGGGTGAGGGCCTCACTGTGGGAGAGGGTGAGGGCCTCACTGTGGGAGAGGGTGAGGGCCTCACTGTGGGAGAGGGAGAGACAATAAAGAGAGAGAGAGGGGTGAGTGAGGGCATCTTTATTAGCCAGAACAATTCACTCCCAGGCTCCTCACTCATTCCGTTTTCTATGAGTGGCGCAGAAAATGCTTGAAATTATTTGCTTCGACATCCACCCCCCCCCCCCCATTCCGTAATGTCTTGGCGCTTTCCCATGATAGTTCCTTCCCTCACCCCCATTCTTTGGGAACCCTGGTGTTGAGAGATGGGGGGGGGGGGATCCAGGGGTCAGGGGTCAAAGGTCAGGGGTCAGAGAGGCAGTCCTAGTGTACTTAAGCATTTTGTTTACTCACTATGTAGTACTTACGGTGGTTGAGCTTCGGCTCTTTGGTCCCGCCTCTCAACTGGTATACACGTGTGTCCCCTTATACGAGTACAAGGTAGATTTAAGGTAGATATGGTCTTAAATAATGCCCATATCTACCCTATCCTGGTCTCCGTGACTGGTGCTAGTGAGGCAGTGTTGCTTCTCTTGGCTTTATGTCTCAATGTCTAGTCTCCTTGTCTGATCTTCTCCCACTAATACCCACTGTCTGATCTTCTCCCACTAACACCCACTGTCTGATCTTCACCCACTAACACTCACTGTCTGATCTTCACCCACTAACACTCACTGTCTGATCTTCACCCACTAACACCCACTGTCTGATCTTCACCCACTAACACTCACTGTCTGATCTTCACCCACTAACACCCACTGTCTGATCTTCACCCACTAACACTCACTGTCTGATCTTCACCCACTCATGTCAGTGCAGTAGACTCCAAACTGACTCACGTCAACTCGCAAAATACACATGAATACTTTGGTAAAAATATACACACATACACTCATCTAACTACACCGGGGGAAAGGAGTGTGTGTGTATAGTTAGTGTATCTATACTTCCTGATCTTAAAAAAGTATTTTGGCATTGTGGCTCTTGAAGTCATGTATGGCGGGTACAAGATGAGTGGCGCTGCCCAATAAACTCGCCCCTCAGGGCAAAATTTAAAAATTTAAAAAAATGGCGGGTGCTTCTCCCGCCACGGGCTGGGCTGCCTTGCACTAGCTTAACACTCTCACAGTGTAAAGAATGTTTCCTGACACTCCTATGGCTCATGCGTTCCCAACTTCGTTCTGTTGCATAACTCTCAACTTTTCCAAACTTTCGTCTTGTGCTGTACCGCGCACGCGCGCGCGCGTTCCATGCTGGCGCTGCATATTCAACGACCGGGCTAATGTACGGTGTTTTGTAAGACTCGTTGCTTAGGCTCTTGAAAGATGCCTTTCGTAAAATCCTTTAAAGGATCCTTAATTGCTCTTGTAATGATTTTAATCACATTCTATATTGTCTATCTCATCTCTTTTTGCCTTTCCTAAACCTGACTACGTAAACATCTTGTTTACGTATGTCTCATCCTTCCATGTCTCACTGGTAAGCTATAAGCTGTTACAGGTGTTGAGTGCAGCTATAAGCTGTTACAGGTGTTGAGTGCAGCTATTAGCTGTGACAGGTGTTGAGTGCAGCTACAGCTGTGACAGGTGTTGAGTGCAGCTACAGCTGTGACAGGTGTTGAGTGCAGCTACAGCTGTTACAGGTGTTGAGTGCAGCTACAGCTGTTACAGGTGTTGAGTGCAGCTACAGCTGTTACAGGTGTTGAGTGCAGCTACAGCTGTTACAGGTGTTGAGTGCAGCTACAGCTGTTACAGGTGTTGAGTGCAGCTACAGCTGTTACAGGTGTTGAGTGCAGCTACAGCTGTAGTGATGGTGTATAGCACTGATGGCTCGGTTGTATGTTTTTTCTGCACGGCTGTACACACACCTGATCACTCTAGCCATAGCGGTAATGATGTGGATAAGTCACTGATAATAAGTTTCTAAATCTAGATAGCGATTTAAGGGCCAGATTCACCAAGCGGTTACGCAAGCACTTACGAACGTGTACATCTTTCCTCAATCTTTGACGGCTTTGGTTACATATATTAAACAGTTTACAAGCATGAAAACTTGCCAATCAACTGTTGTTATTGTTATAAACAGCCTCCTGGTGCTTCGGAGCTCACTAACTGTTTAATAATTGTAAACAAAGCCGCCAAAGATTGAGAAAAGATGGACAGGTTCGTAAGTGCTTGCGTAACTGCTTCGTGAATCTGGCCCTTGGTTCTTGTAGAAATTATCTTCTTGTGTGGTATATTCTGGCTAGCACCTCTGCTGTGTACTCACCTAGTTGTGCTTGCGGTGGTTGAGCTCAGGCTCTTTGGGCCCGCCTCTCAACTGTCAATCAACTGATTTGATCCCCCCCCACACACACACACCTTGGAAGGAGCCAGTAGCAGTTGTCTAACTCCCAGGTACCTATTTACTGCTAGGTGAACAGACGTACCAGGGTGAAAGAAACTGTCCATTTGTTTCTGCCTCTGCCGGGGATCGCACCCGGATCCTTAGGACTACGACCCCAGAGCGCTGTCAGCTCAGCCGCGAGGCCCCTGCTGTTGTTACATGAGCAGTGACGTGTGTGTGTGTGTGTGTGTGTGTGTGAGAGAGAGAGTATAACCAGTGGTGGCACCCTCCCCCAGCAGAGGTGCCACCCCCCCTCCCCCCAGCAGGGGTGCCACCCCCCCCCAGCAGGGGTGCCAGCTGGCGGACAAGTGACGGTGCCCCAGACAAGTGCACCAACAGCCTGGTGTTCCCAGAAGCCAGCTGGGCCAGGTGGTGCCGCTCAAGCGATCGATGCCCCGCCCCACCTTGTGGCTGGGTAAGCTCTTCCACCTGCCTGGGGAGGGGGGGGAGGGTGCCTGGGGAGGGGGAGAGTGCCTGGGGAGGGAGGGGGAGGTGCCTGGGGAGGGGGGGTGCCTGGGGAGGGGGGAGGAGTGCAGAGAAGTTTGCAAGAAGTCTGGTACCAGAGCTAACAGGGTTATGCTGTGAGGAGAGGTTAAGGGAACTACATCTCCCAACCCAGAACAATCTGTGGGGATATGATCGCAACATGCAAGATCCTGAAGGAAATTGGCAAGGTAGACAAGGACAGCCTCTTTAAAGTTAGAGAGAAAGTAGGACGAGAGACCAGAAATGGAAACTGGAAACCCAAATGAGTCGAAGAAATGTAAGGAAATCAAGAGGTGAACAAGAGGCCGAGCCGGTCGGCCGAGCGGACAGCACGCTGGACTTGTGAGCCTGTGGTCCTGGGTTCGATCCCAGTCGCAGGCGAGAAACAATGGGCAGAGTTTCTTTCACCCTATGCTCCTGTTACCTAGCAGTAAAATAGGTACCTGGGTGTTAGTCAGCTGTCACGGGCTGTTTCCTAGGGGTGGAGGCCTGGTCGAGGACCGGGCCGCGGGGACACTAAAAAAAAAAAAAGCCCCGAAATCATCTCAAGATAACCTCAAGATAACCACGTGCTTAGGGAAGTTGTGGAAGCCACCTCCAGTCACAACTTGTTAGCCTCGACGGTACGGCATTCAGGCGTCAGGGTAGTTATACACTACACGACAACAGGTCTAACGAGGCTAGCAGACGGGCCATTAAGACACAGCACCGCTCCTGTGCCAGGTAAGTCCACTACGGGCTCACCATAGCCCGTGCTACTTGCCCTGCTCCTGTGCCAGGTAAGTCCACTACGGGCTCATTATAGCCCGTGCTACTTGCCCCGCTCCTGTGCCAGGTAAGTCCACTACGGGCTCACCATAGCCCGTGCTACTTGCCCCGCTCCTGTGCCAGGTAAGTCCACTACGGGCTCACCATAGCCCGTGCTACTTGCCCCGCTCCTGTGCCAGGTAGTCCACTACGGGCTCACCATAGCCCGTGCTACTTGCCCCGCTCCTGTGCCAGGTAAGTCCACTACGGGCTCACCATAGCCCGTGCTACTTGCCCCGCTCCTGTGCCGGGTAAGTCCACTACGGGCTCACCATAGCCCGTGCTACTTGCCCCGCTCCTGTGCCAGGTAAGTCCACTACGGGCTCACCATAGCCCCGTGCTACTTGCCCCGCTCCTGTGCCAGGTAAGTCCACTACGGGCTCACCATAGCCCGTGCTACTTGCCCCGCTCCTGTGCCAGGTAAGTCCACTACGGGCTCACCATAGCCCGTGCTACTTGCCCCGCTCCTGTGCCAGGTAAGTCCACTACGGGCTCACCATAGCCCGTGCTACTTGCCCCGCTCCTGTGCCAGGTAAGTCCACTACGGGCTCACCATAGCCCGTGCTACTTGCCCCGCTCCTGTGCCAGGTAAGTCAGCTACGGGCTCACCATAGCCCGTGCTACTTGGAACTTGTTCCGAGTAGCTGAATCTATAACAACAACAACATTAAAACCTCACCTTCGCCTGACAGCTGGGTGGACAGCGCTTTGGATTCGTAGTCCTGAAGTTCCGGGTTCGATCCCCGGTGGAAGCGGAGACAAATGAGCAAAATGTTTCTTTCACCCTGATGCCCCTGTTACCTAGCAGTAAATAGGTACCAGGGAGTTAGACAGCTGCTACAGGCTGCTTCCTGTGGGTGGAAGTCTGGTCGAGGACCGGGCCGCGGGGACACTTAGCCCCGAAATCATCTGAAGATAACCTCCCCCGTAGGCAAGATAATAGGCCTATACTGATAGGTAAACACGGTCGCTGGCGCGTGAGCCCAAACGCCTCCACGAAGGGCATGAAGAGCCTGGGGTCCGATTCACGAAGCAGTTACGCAAGTACTTACGAACGTGTACATCTTTCCTCAATCTTTGACGGCTTTGGTTACATTTATTAAACAGTTTACAAGCATGAAAACTTGCCAATCAACTGTTGTTAATGTTATAAACAGCCTCCTGGTGCTTCGGAGCTCATTAACTGTTTAATAATTGTAAACAAAGCCGCCAAAGATTGAGAAAAGATGTACAGGTTCGTAAGTGCTTGCGTAACTGCTTTCGTGAATCTGGCCCCTTAAGGGCATGATTCTGCCCGAAGCGCTGCGCGTACTAGTGTCTTTACA